TTTCCCTGGTTATCTGTGCAGATGCCATAGGAGAACAAGCATGGACCCTGATCAGCTACAAAATGCTGTAGTAATCATTGCAAACACCTTGCAACGTATGCAGCAGTCTGTCCACAGCCTAGCCAGGAGCTGCTGAAGAGAGGAAGAATGTGAGGAGGCCATGAACACAGACATGCGTGAAAGCATTGAGTGGAGCAATTGGCATATGCTGCTGCTAGTCAATCCTTTTGACACAGTGGAATGCTGGTTCTGGTCCTGGGAGACAAGCACAGACTGGTGGGACATCATAGTTAATAGAGCTATGGGATGATGACCAGTGGCTGCAAAACTTTCACATGCTTAAGTACACTTTCACTGACGCCTGTGAATTGCTTTCCCCCCACCCTGGAGTGACATTGTTACCATTTCTTTCCATCATGTTAGCCACCCTCATTCCACCCACATTCTCTGTTGAATCTCCTAGAACAAATAAAGTGAAATGCAGACTTTAGAGAAGATACATTGTCGAATGCAGAAATTAATCTTTTACCATTTAAGAAAATCTGTCCTACACAATAGGCATGTGTTATGTACAAGGCCAAAGTTATGTTTTTAAGCACCTACGAAGTAGATACAACACTGAGATCTGAAGATAGCAGCTGGACTCGGTTTGGTGGCAGACATGATAAGCAAACCGGTGGGGTTCTTTTGTTTCTGCTTTGAAAGCATGTGTGACATGATGACAGCAAACTGCAGCTCTCGTGGCTAGACATGTGTCTGTGTTTGCAAAGGGGGGCTGCTGTTGAGAGGGGCTGGACTGGGAACAGGTGGGCATGGTGGCAGGGCTCACAAGGTCACTGTGTGTTTAGCACCCCTCATTTGCCAGGAGAGTACATCTTGCCCTTCCCACAGGGGCTTGCATGGGGGAAGGAGGGACAGATGTGGTGGCAGGGCTCACATGGTCAGCAAACCATGATTTGTTGGAGATAAGAAAATGGAGGTGTACTGCTTCCCCTGCATCATCCAGTGAACTCCAATTCAACATCATCTTTTTTAAATTAAACTCCCTGGAACAACTCCCCTTGGTTTATCTGTGATCTGCAGAAAGATTAGCTTCTCGGGCGGAAGCACTGATGGAGGAATGAAGGCTGGGTTAATAAAGGGGAGGTGGCTTTAACTTTCAGTGTGAACTAGTTATTGAACCTTTCTAGTGAGACCAAGAGCCTGAAAAGAAATTGTTACTCACCTTGTGCAGTAACATCTGTTCTTCGAGATGTGTGTCCCCGTGGGTGCTCCGCTGAAGGTGTCAGGCTCATCCCGGCGCCGCAAACCGGAGAGTTTT